AAACATAGGATATCTGCCTTTGACTGACTTATTTCACTCAGCATAATACCTTCCGGTTCCATCCATGTTGCTACAAATGACAGGATTTCATTCTTTATCGTTGCCAAGTAGTATTCCATTGTATATATGAATCACATCTTCTTTCCATAATTTGGGTATCGTTGATAGTGCTCTTTAAAGATTGGGGTACATGGGGCGCCTGGGTGGCGCAGTCGGTTAAGCGTCCGACTTCAGCCAGGTCACGATCTCGCGGTCCGTGAGTTCGAGCCCCGCGTCGGGCTCTGGGCTGATGGCCGATTCTGTGTCTCCCTCTCTCTCTGCCCCTCCCCTGTTCATGCTCTGTCTCTCTCTGTCCCAAAAATAAATAAACGTTGAAAAAAAAATTAAAAAAAAAATAAAGATTGGGGTACATGTGCCCCTATGCATCGGCACTCCTGTATCCTTTGGATAAATTCCTAGTAGTGCTATTGCTGGGTCATAGCTATTTTTAATTTTTTGAGGAACCTCCACACTGTTTTCCAGAGTGGCTGCACCAGTTTGCATTCCCACCAACAGGACAAGAGGGTTCCCATTTCTCCACATCCTCGCCAGCATCTGTTGTTTCCTGAGTTGCTCCATTTTAGCCACTCTGACTGGTATGAGGTGGTATCTCAGTGTGGCTTTGATTCGTATTTCTTAAGGGTGACTTTCTTACCTCAACCATGTGGATAGAGATCAGGCATAGGTCTGCCAAGACTGAAGATGTTACCTGTATTATTGCCCATTCTGATGCAGCTTTTTGGCTTTCAGAGTGGGCATTGGTCTTTGGTGGGGAACCATGCAATGCATGCAAATGATTTAGCTCTGAGTTTTATTGAGCACCACCGTTGCTGTGCCTGGCACTTGGGCAGGGGACTGGCATTGCAGGTTCACAAGCCAAACGTGGTCTGTGCTTTCAGAAAGAAGTACAGGCTTGGGTGGTCACTTAGCCTCTTTGAGTGTCAGTCTCCTCATCCATAAAATGGGGATGATATCTATCTGCTTACATCACAGGGTTGTTGTTAGGGTCAGTTTATAGAAAAGCGAATGTGCAGCAGTATTTTGTACAGGCATCATACACCTGCAAGGGATTACATTAAGATAGGATAATTATCTAATTGAGAGCAATGATTCCATATGTTCTTTTTTTGTATTTGCACCTTTAATTTTATTTTTTATTTTTTTAAATTTATATCCAAATTGGCATACAGTGCAACAATGATTTCAGGAGTAGATTCCTTAGTGCCCCTTCCCCATTTAGCCCATCCCCCCTTCCACAACCCCTCCACCAACCCTCAGTTTGTTCTCCATATTTATGAGTCTCTTCTGTTTTGTCCCCCTCCCTCTTTTTATATTGTTTCCCTTCCCTTATGTTCATCTGTTTTATCTCTTAAAGTCCTCATAAGAGTGAAGTCATATGATTTTTGTCTTTCTTTGACTAATTTCACTTAGCATAATACCCTCCAGTTCCATCCACGTAGTTGCAAATAGCAAGATTTCATTATTTTTGATTGCCGAGTAATACTCCATTGTGTATATAAACCACATCTTCTTTATCCATTCATCCATCGATGGACATTTAGGCTCTTTCCATACTTTGGCTATTGTTGATAGTGCTGCTATAAACATGGGGGTGCATGTGTCCCTTCGAAACAGCGCACCTGTATCCCGTGGATAAATGCCTAGTAGTGCAATTGCTGGGTTGTGGGGTAGTTCTATTTTTAGTTTTTTGAGGAACCTCCATACTGTTTTCCAGAGTGGCTGCACCAGCTTGCATTCCCACCATTTGTTCTTTAATGACACTCTCAGGATTACCAGAGAGCACCCACCAATTGACTACATGAGGAAACGGGGGTACACAGAAGCAGTGTGACATAGGCAGGCCACATGGCATGTCCGAAAGAGAACATGATCTCGTGATCTCAGACCTGTGACCCTTACCTGGAGCCCCCTTAGTGGTAAACTTTTGGTCTAGAGGTAAGATTAGGTCCCTGATAGCATTAGAAGGCATCCCTAGCATTTCTTGGGCATAAGCCACCTCAGCCCCTCTGTGGGGAGTGTGTGATGAGAGAGGAGGGGCCATGGTACCGTGATGATTCTCTCCTAGGACCTCCATGCCCTCAGCCTCTTCCCCCACTCTTGTCTCTTGCATGACATTTCCTTTTCTCCTTCTGCCCTTTGCTAAAATCCTGAAGGTCTGGCCCTTTAATAGCACCTCTGCCCCACAGGAGGGCAAGACACAACTCTGGCTGCCTCAGAGCACCTTGGCCCCACTAAGTTTATCAGAGCCACTCATGTCCTTGAGCTCTATCCCTGGCTAGGGCTGGGGCCAGAGGCTTCAGCCTGCAGCATGGGGCCCTGCAGTGGAAGTACTGGGGGCAATACGCAAGGGCGCTAGAAGAAGCCATGTGATGCAGAACCTGTGTGCCACCTGCCTCCATGAGGGACTTGGAGGAGTTAACGGTAAAAATATGTATGTGGGTAGAGAGCGGTACATAAATACAGGATAAAAAATCCTATACGGGTGTGCCTGGGTGGCTCCGTCAGTTGAGCGTCCGACTTCAGCTCGGGTCATGATCTCATGTTCATGGGTTCGAGCCCCGCATCAGGCTCTGGGCTGACAGCTTAAAGCCTGGAGCCTGCTTTAGATTCTGTGTCTCCCTCTCTCTGCGCCTCCCCTGCTTGTGCTCTGTCTCTGTCTCTCAAAAAATAAAATAAAATAAAACTTAAAAAAATTTAAAAACTATACAGATAAGGAGAGATAGTAGCAGAAACATAAATGAAGTAATTCTCTGCAATCGAGGTCTAAATTTGGCCCTGGACTTCGTGGCATACAAGACAAAGAGAGAAATATGATGGGTTTCCTAGTCTCTTCATCGAAAGAAATGAAATGTTTAGAGAAGGCATTTTCCCTCTGGCACAATGGTCTAGGAGGATTTTATCCCCTGAGTCCTTATATAAAGGATACTGTGTAACAGAAAAGCGGCGCATAAGTAACCCTTGATCTTGAGCTCATGAGCAGATACCTCATGAGCTGATGCGTTTGTGGACTTTGGTATTTTTAGTATCTGTGTTTCCTCGTAGACTGTGGGTTCTGTGTAGGCAGCAGTCTGGTTTGTCTTGTTTGCTGGGTCTCTGCATGGGACAGAGGTCTCCAAGTTTGTTATTAGGATTTAATAAGAAGCATTTTAGGGGAAAGGCAAGTATTTTGTGAGTAATTAGAGGGACATCCAAGCCAAATCTGCAATGTCAGTGGAAGGTAAGGGATGGTTCCCTGGGTAAAGGAGCATCTTAGCAGAGACCTGCAGGAATTAGGTAAAAGGACAGGAAGAGAAATTGGTCAGGAAGAGAGAACAGCAAATGTGAAGGCCTGAGAGAGAATGCCACTAGATGAAGGAGGTCAGTCATGGGCTCTCTCAGCGTAGAGACAAGGTGGAGAGTGGGGGAAGGAGAAGGTTGGAGAGATAAGCAGGGGGCTTTAAATGGGAGACAGGAGGTGGACTTTTCCCTACAGGCAATGGGGAGCCCCTGAAGGGTTGGGAAAGATCACTTGGCCACGTGTCCCTCCAGACATCTGGCTCAGATCTCCCTAGGCTCAGAATGAGAGGATCAGGATGGCAGGCACCCCAGGATTGAGATCTCTGGCGAGAGCCTCAAATGCACATTCCGGCCTGACTGTCAGCTCCCCGAGGGCAGGCACACTGGCTGTGGTGTTCACCATATGTCACAGTTAGACATTCCCCTGCCCAAGGTCTGATCCAATTGAGAAAGAGTTCAGAAGAGTCAGCAGATGGAAGCCTGTGTGAAGGTGGTATTTGCAGATGTGGCTTGGGCTGATTTCCCACAGACAGGGGGCACAGGTGAGTGGGGCAGGCCCCTTAGAAACTGTCACATGGAGGAACGTGAGCAGACAACTAGGGAGGGGGCTGGGCTCTGCATGGCCTATTTCTTTCTCCAAACTCACAGATCAGCTCATTTTTTTCCTCTCTCTGGGCGAGGAGTAAGGAGGGACAGGAGAGTTTGCTCAGGGAGCCCCTTCCACAGGGAAGGACACATCAGAAGTGGGAAAAGCGTTGCCTTATCACCCAGCCCGGTCCCTAGCACATAGTAGGCACTCAGTAAACTCTGTGCCTCGTTTTCTCTGTGCCTTGAATGGGTACCTTGTGTGCACTGCAGATAGAAAAAAAAGTCTTGTTCCTTACCTACCTGATTATCAGAAGGTGGTCTTACCCCCTGTCTTTAAAACCACTACCACCACCAGACCAGTGCTTGTCCTCCATTCTTTCCCTGAGGAAGGCCATCTCCCCTCCACCCCGTGGCTCTGGAGCTTTTTGCTCCTGGTCATTAAGCCCCCTCAGTTCCACTGTCCAGCCTGCCTCCTTGGACTTGGTGGAGGCCAGTGTCTGTGTCGCTGTCCCCTGTGTGCAGCACTTGGCCTGGCGTGACTCACAAGTAACCTGCCCTCTCCCAGGTGTGTGTGTGCTGAGGCCTTCCAGCTGTCCAAACTGGCAACAGGGATCCCCGTGAGCCTGGTAGGAAGGGGACTTAGGCCAGCTTGGGGTTTTGGTGGCTGGAAAATATCCCTTGGCCTGTGGATTTGCAGAAGGAGGGTGTGGCCTCACTAATATTCATGTCCTTGAATTAATCCCTGGATGGAAATCCCTGAACCAAATCCAAAGTTTTCCTTTCCAATCCCTCCAAAGTAGGAAGTTGAGAAGAGAGAGAAAAACCCACAGAACAGTAAATGAGGACGAAGCCTTGTGTCTCAGGACTTGGGAGGACCAGCTGGGAGAAGGGTCCTTCCTGTGTCAATGGCCAGTGGCCGGGAGCAGCCCTCAGCTCTTCCTGGTCTCTGGCGTTGGCAGCAGGAGTTGCCTATACTGGCCCTGCTTGCATTAGATGGGTTCTGATGCCATCTTCCCTACTGATTGGCCAGGAGGAAAGGAGAGGGGCTCGAGATGAGAGAAATTCTCTCCACTTCTCTCCCCACGGGGTTATAGAATGTGAGCGCATTTGTTTCCTATTGCTGCTTGTATTGAATTATCCCAACATAGAGGCTTAAAGCAACCCAAATTCATTCTCCTACCACCCTGGAGGTCTGAAGTCCTGATATCAAGGTGTGGGCAGGGCTGCATTCCTTCCAGAGGCTCCTGGGAGAGAATTTGCTTCCTTACCTTTTTCACCTTCTGCAGGCCACCTGCTTTTCTCCACTCGCCGCCCCGCCCTGTATCCTGCACGTCCGCAGGGCAAGACTTCCCAGCTGCTCTCAGCTTCCATCATACCACCATCTCCGTAATCTCTCTTCTGCCTCCTTCCTAGGAGGATCCGTGGGAGTACATCGGGCCCACCTGGATAAATCTCCCCACCTCAAGATCCTTAACTTGATCACATAGGCAAAGTCCCTTCTTGCCACGTAAGGAAACATGGTCATGGGTTCTGGGGAGGAGGACGTGGACATCTTTAGGGGGCCCTTATTTGGCCTACCACCTTGGGCATCTGGCTCCGTGTTTCCCAAATGAGTGATCCATGGGGCCTGGCACTTCGGTGGCTTGCAGGGTGGGGCAGGAGGGGCCAGCTCGGATGCCCACCCACCTTTAGTCATGAGAAGCTGTATTTTTCTCTCTGGTGTTTACTGGGGTTCCGTGGAAGGTTTCATATGAAGAAAAGGTTTGAAAACTGCTGATTTAATCTGATCTCTTTAGAATGAGGTCCAGAAAGGGCAAATGATTCACCTGATAATGAACAGTTAAAAAAAAATGACAGATTCAGTGCTAAACTCTGGTCCCCTGACTAGGTCCCACAGGTAAATGTCCTTCCTACTGGTCCCTCTCAGGGATAAAAAAACAACCAAATTAAGAAGGGGTGTGTTTCCAGAGTGGCTAAAATTAATAACTCAGGAAATAACAGATGCTGGCGAGGATGTGGAGAGACGGGAACCCTCTTGCACTGTTGGTAGGAATGCAGACTGGTACAGCCACTCTGGAAAACAGTGTGGAGGGTCCTCAAAAACTTAAAAATAGAACTACCTTATGACCCAGGAATAGCACTACTAGGAATTTACCCAAGGGATACAGAAATGCTGATCCTTAGGGGCATATGTACCCCAATGTTTATAGCAGCATTTTCAACAATAGCCAAATCATGGAAAGAGCCTAAATGTCCATCAACTGATGAATGGATAAAGAAGATGTGGTTTACATATACAATGGAATACTCCATGGCAGTGAGAAAGAATGAAATCATGCCATTTGTTAACAATGTGGATGGCACTGGAGGGTATTATGCTAAGTGAAATGTCAGAGAAAGTCAGATACGTTTTCATGCATATGTGGAACTTGAGAAACTTAGCAGAAGACCATGGGAGAAGGGAAGGGAAAAAATTAGTTACAGAGAGGGAGGGAGGCAAACCACAAAAGACTCGTAAATACAGAGAACAAACTGAAGGTTGATGGAGGGAGCAGGGAAAACGGGAGATGGGCATTGAGGAGGGCACTTGTTGGGATGAGCACTGGGTGTTGTATGTAAGCGATGTTAT